ATAGATAGATAGATAGATAGATAGATAGATAGATAGATAGATAGATAGATAGATAGATAGATAGATGTGGATGGATGTAACTGATGAATCAGGTGCCTGGTTTTTCTTGATGTTTGATGCTATTGTTTTTCTTGTTTGTGATTTTATCATTGTTGTTCTTCACCCAGAGTTGTGTGTGTCAGGATGGGCGGCCATATAAACCTTCTCAATAAATAAGTAAATGGGATCCACAGCACGGAGCAGATGATCCTGTATCATCACCACAGATGGTTGTTTCCCGTTGTACACATCTAGACCAAACTGCCGAAACTATCCAGTTCCAGTGATGGTGCAGAAATCTGTAGAGCTGGTGAGGAACGGCTGAGCCCCTTAGAAGCAAACAGCCTTCGTTGTCCAGAGTTGGCCAACGAAGAGCTTTCCAGGATCAACAAAGACTCGGTTCCACCAGTATGAATTTTCTGAGTTTTCTTTCTGCACCCGTCAAAATGGTTTGCACCCAGGTGCCAAGTGTCTCTGTAGCTGGTCCTTTAGATGTAGGCTGCATCTGAAAAGCCCCTGCTCATTTCTAAGTTGGTGTCCTTTCTTTTCCACTGTCCCTGGGGCCGATTTGCTGAAACAAGCTTGAAGAAGACAACTGAGAAGCCAAGGTAATCATCTGATATTTCTGGTGCTCTCCTTCTCAGATATATATATATAGCAGTGGGGGTGGAAAGCAAGAACCAACAGTCGTTCCGAGATCAAAACAATAATCAGCTAAATGAATTCCGCAGCATTTTCCCGCATGACCAGGAGTGATAATTTAGTGCAGCAGCCAGCTGGAAGAAAGGGGATTAATTCTGCACTTACTGACTCTCCTGTGAATAATTCATCACGTGCAGCCCCGTCTCCAAAGTGCTTCACCAGACAGCCCTGCCCAAATCATGGGGGTGCTCTGGGTGAAAACAGCAATGGAATTAACCTGCCAGATTTAAGCCTGGCCCAAATTAAACTTTGCAGAGGGGGAAACAAAGAATGCAGAACCCTCGCTGTTTCCCACAAGTGCAATGTTGGTCTTCTAATGCCCTGATCCTCAGCATTTTTCAGGTCAGAAGATAGGCTAGGTTTAATCCTAGGAAGGATGGCATTCATTACTATTCCTATAGCTGAGTTTTCCATCCAGCAGCTTCCAAGGGGGAGACACGGTAAGCAGATGGGACATGAGCCCCACACCTTTTTTCATGCATTGTGACATCGTACACAAGACCCCAAGGGCGAAGGTTATGCCGGGATTCCATAATGCTGCTTTTAGCATTCTGATGAACGTGGCAAGGTCCTGTAGATGCTGCTGTTCTCTCTTCCCTTTCAAATATCATATTAGGGAGTTTAAATGAAGTGGTTAAAGTAGACGCAGGGATGTATTGGTGAAGCTGTTGGATTAGGGCTGGGAAAGACCAAATTCAAATCTATCTTCAGCTGCAGAAACTCAGAAGGTTGTCCACCCCATTCTCTCTCAACTCAGTCTACCTCAAGAGTTGTTGGTATGGGGAAAAATTGGAGTAGGAGCACTATGAACATCATCTCGAGGTCCTAGAGGAAAAAGATGATACTACTCTAATCAACACACCCACACAAACACAAATGCACACACACAATTAGAAGCTCCAACCATCAAACCCTAAAAAGCAGGAAAGCAAACAATAGTTAAACAATCGCTTCAAATTACATGAAGAAAAATAAAGGCCTGGAAAAAGAAAAACGTGCTCACTGCAAATAGAAAGGTCGCCCCTCCCAGCCTTTTCCTGATAAATCTCAAGTGGTGGAGAAGCTCACAGAAGATCCATTAATGAAGGAGCTACCTATGAAGAAAGGTAACCCATTACATCTGGGACAGACAAGCATTTGTGTCCAGGAGCTCCCTTTCTTTCCCATCTTTGGAACAGACAACAGTGGTGGAGGCCATTTACTGATATCCCTGGACATGATATCACAAGAGCTTGGTGTCCTTTCCTCCTCTTTTCATGCAATCCCTGAATCCTACAGACGAAAGAGAGTCATTGGGGCATTCCTTCCACTGCCTGCTGAATGCAGAAATCCAGATTAAAGCATGCCAGAATGATGACTCTCTTAGCCTCTGCTTGAACGTATCCAATGAGAGGAGATGGCCGTCTGTCCCAGTCACTGGTTCTCCTATCCAACTGCCCTTCTTGTTAGCAAGGTTTTTCTCTCTCTCTCTTAACACTCAATCACAATCTGCCTTCCTTTGGTGCACCTTTAAAATACATACATGCATTAAGCCTCCTCAAAGCTTAATGCACTCTTCCACTTCTAAGTTGGCGGCGGTGGTGGGGGGGGGAACTACAGAAAACCACACCACCATTATTCAGTGGGGTGATCTCAGGAAGCTCCAGAACCTACAAAGGATGTACTGGAGGCATGCACACATGCACGCACACACACAAAGATTAAAAAGTGGAGTAAGCTATATCTCCTGGATGTTTTACTGACTTCCATTTATCCCAACATAATATGAAATGGCCATCCATTTGGTGAAAGAGAACGAGCCATTCAGATTTAGGCCATAAAAATCCAGAACTGGAGGAGATTCTTCAGTAAAGAATATCTCAAAGCATCCCTATCAAGAAGGGTCCCAAATTGTTCCTCTTGTAGAGGCTCATAAAACTGGAGGTCTGCAATCAGTGTAATAGTTGTAGGTCTGAGCTGCATCTGTTTGGCTTACAAGCTTGGCAGCAATCTCCCTTCTACATTTTCTCTGCAGCATATCAGTTCAGACCTCCAGTCAGAGCGGCCTGTCCCTCCCCTACGCCCTGGGGCTTGATACATAGAGAAAAAAGAGTGGCCAGAGAGAGAACGGGTGTCCCTTTTGCTTTTAGACCCACCCCTAAGTGACTCAGCCATAGGTCCCCAGGCATCTTCTAACAAATCATCCATAACAGGATGCCCACTCCTGGTTTCCATCCATTGGTAGATAAGTCACCACCAATATCCATCTGTGTCTCCTCCTTACATCTAGTTGGCTCCACCTTCAGTAACCCTCTTGGTTCCACTGATGATAAACTGATCTCCCACGAGTAACAACCCACACAGCTTGGCTCCTGAAGTCAGCTGAGAAACATAACTGGGGACTTTGGAGCAATGACTTGATTTTTCCTTGGTTCCCAGGAGCATCCATAGGTGTTTGGGTGGGTATGAAGGGTGTCATTGCATGGCAAGCTCCGCCCCTTTTGTATATGAATTATGATATCACATGCACATAGGAAAGAGGTAAAATTTGTGATGCAATGGTACAATGCTGCTTGGGTCATCTTGAAGACAACCTCCCATCCTGCAGACTGTTCTGTTGGGCCCTGTTATTCGTGGGTCAGTTGTTGGCTGAAAAATTATTATACGTCGTTCCTGTACCTTTTTCTCTTCCCTTTCTTATTTCCACCCCATCCTTTGCAATGTAATTTAGCCTGACAAGCTGAAGCTGGTTCCTAGCTAAGAATTGCTCTCAACCTCTCTTGTTTCAAGACTGTGAGTGTGCGGAGAGGAGGAGGAAGGGGGCGAGGAGGCGCTTTACAAGGCCATGTCAAGCATCATCTATATTCATGAAATGGATTTAGGAGGCACCAATCTCTAGTAGAGTCAGCTGTCCAGCCGCCTGGGGTTTCTAATGTTTTTACAGCACTTGGGCAGAATTGCAAGAAGGAGATGGAGGAAAGCTTAATTGAATCCAGCAATGGAGTGTGAGACAGGCAGGGGTCTAGTGGGATGGTAGGTTCAAAACAGCAGTAGGATTAGGGACATGCATTGAGTATGCCACGCATTTACCATGGCAAGGATGCATTTTTAGACAAATATCACATTTGCATAGCTTTCTGAGGCCAAGAGGCACCACACAACCTTGGAAATGCATCGATTTTTGGAACAGACGTGTTTCCAGCGCACCAGCTGAATATGAATTATTTTTCTCCCGAGAAGAATTGAACTCCAAGCACAGCTTGATTTGGACGCCAGAATGCTTGTTGCATTATTCCCTTTTTTTCTCAACACCATCCCCTCTCTCTTTCCTGGTTGAGTTTCCCAAACTGAGGAGACTAGGCTAAAATGAGATTGGGTAGTTTGTGATTCGGCCTGTTGTGGGAATCCACTCATGGCATTAACAAGAACCCACCACATTAAGCTATAAAATGGTTTATTTCATTGGGCATGGAATGTAATGGGAGCACAGCTAAAGTGTTTTCTTAACTTAGCCTTAGGGTTTAATGTGTTGTGTGAGCCCAGTTTCTCTCTCTCTCTCTCCTCTCTCTCTACACCCTCATTTTTCTGAGATATATGAAGTTAGAACTGCAAATTTTCCAGTCCCATAGGGATTATGACCCCTGAGGCCCAAGGGTTGACTGCAGCCAAGAAATTTGACATTCTAGTAGGAATCTACCAAGTCATCATGAACTAATAACTGTTGTTTCCTAACCTTACCTCTGAATTGATCAAGTGAAGACCAAGTTGGACAGTTGGGATTCCACCAGACGTGGTTTTCATATTGGTATCCTGGGGAAATAATAGGCAAAGGACAAAGTCAATTAATACAATCCATATGTAGAATTCATTATTCAAGGAGTTTAAGTTTCCTTCTTAACATTAAGAACTGCTTTGCTGGAGTAGATTAAAGGGACAGCTGATCTAAGATGCATTTCCTGAAAAGGAGACATTCAAAAAGTTTGCAAGAAGCATGGGGGAACGTGGACCCATCTCTATTTTTCTCCACAAAGTGATCTTCAAAAGTCTGGCAGAACTTCATTTGGTAATGAAGGGTGTCATTCATTTGTCTACTTATTCAAAAGACTGTAAGCTGGACTTCTTCAAAGACATATCAATGTCATTTAAATTGCCAATACGGTATAAGCCAGAATAAATACCACATTTCAAATTGGGGGACAAGATCCACTGGTGGGCTGGGTCATTGATCTTTGGAAAACAACTCCCCACCCCCACCCCACAAGGTTAGATTGGCACCAACCCCACTGGGTTTAAGAATGCAATTATGACTTGGCTGTTCTAGGAGGTCTTTGGAGAAAAATATGACAACCTCTTCTACAGTATGTTTTTCTCTTTCTCTTTCTGGAGTGTTGCTGCTTAGCATGGTACATATGTACATTTTTGTTATTTTGTAGTACATTTCTTGTTTTAATCTTTTTATGGTGACTGGAGATGTAAGCTGCTTAGAGTCACATCTTGACCGAAGTGGCTGATAAGCCTGAGGAAAATAAAGCAAATCAATCAATCAATCAGTTATTGAAACTAGAGAGTTCCCTGGGAAAGCTAACATAAAACCCTTCTTTTGAGTAAAGTAATTCAGTGGTCTGTCCTGGTTTAGCTTTCTAAGCCAGACAGAACTGTCCAGTCCATCCAACAGGTCAGCAGTTCAAGCCAGACAAAGTCAAGGAGCTATTGATACACAATCAGTAAAATAGGAAGAAACTGACAAGTAGTACACCTGGCAACAAGTGAGTATTGAAATCCTCAACTAGATTACCTCTCCTTCCCAGAATTCTAATGGCTTCCGTCTACAGCAGTGTTTCTCAACTTGGCAACTTGAAGATATGTGGACTTCAACTCCCAGAATCCCCCAACCAACATGACGTTTGCTAAGAATTCTGAGAGTTGAAGTCCATACATCTCAAAATTACCCCAATTGGAAGATAATGACTGAGAGCACAAATGTGATGGAATTCACCCATAGAAAACCAATACTATTCTGATATAATCTGATCTATCCATTCTTACCTGGATGGGTAGGTTTTCTACCCTAATTCCATTTCTGCTGCTATCTGCCACAAGCTTTCGGTAAACCCGGTTGGTCAGTGGCAGCACGGAGAAACCTAAAAACTTTGATGTGCCTTCCAGATCTTCTCCTGGTGCTGGCAGTGTTGGAGAGGAATAAAAAGTCTATTAGCTTCTCCTTACTTCACAGCGGAGGATGAAAGATCAAATAAAAATAGCTATTCCTCTTTCTCAGAACCCGTTGCTTTCAGAATTCAAACTCTTCCCATGCAGACTTCATTCTGGATCTTAAAGTTGCTATTGGATGCATTGTTTCGACCTTGAACCAATGCCTGGGGAGGCTGAATTAGGAGTGGACCGATGATGAAAGTACAAAAATTCATCTTAAATACTTGTGGGGTTAAAATGTTCTGCATTGGAAACATTTGCATCCCTAACCAAATGGACCATTAGGTGGGATACCATTCAGTGAAGCTTGTTAACCAAGTCTGAACTGATTATCTAGCCACTGGGGGGTCTTCTATTATCTCTGGACCCCATCTTAGAAACTACCATGCCTTGCAATCTGGTATTTATGATAACCTGTGGTGTGGGGAGAGTTTGCAAACTTCTTGAGCAAATTCCTATCTCCTAAAAGAAGATGCCAGCTCCTTGTGACACAGCAAAACTGGAACGTACTTGATTTGTAGTATTCAATTAGCAAGGCAGTATCGTCTGAGAAAGCAGTAGCACCATCCCTTCCTTGAAACAAGTAGGATGTATTCCACATGGGTTGTTTAGGAGGCCCACCAAGTGAAGAAACCTAAGGATTGGGAAAAGATAGGATGGCAGCTCAGTCGGTATCTCAGATTGTGAACATCGTTGTTGAACCAAGACACCTTAATGGAGTGCTTGGTTGAGTTCACACAGTGAAGACTGCCAGTCTTTCTAACAGCCTGCTGAAAAAGGCAATAAAAAATAAACAGGCAATAAAACCGAAGAAAGCTTCGCATCCTACACAGCATAACAGACAGCTTCGCCATAAAATTTAATTGCACAGGGAGCCATAGATAAAAGACTTGCACAATATCCTACTTTTCAGATTCCGCATAGATGGCTCAAAGAGAGAACATAAGGACCATGGTGGACCAGATCAAAAGTCTAACAAATCAAGCATTCTCTTTCTTACCCTGGTTAACCAGATGTCTCCAACCGTCCCCCCTCAAACCCTACAGGAAGAGGGTGTGACATCAATAACCATCTTCTGTTTTTGCTCCTTAACAAGGAGAGACATTGTACTTCTTCAGTTCAGGATTTCACTTTGCCATTGAATCTAGTAACCATTGACAGACCCAACCACTGTGGCTTTATCTATAGTCTCTTTAAAACCAGCTAGACTATCAGCCACTATCAAAACTTGGCCCAATGAATTCCACACATTTATTCTACACAGTGTGAAAAAGTCCTGTTATTGTGGAGTCCTTGGGGTTCTCTGAGCTTGGTTGTTTTCTTGCAAATATCTCATTACCCGGCTAGGTAACATCTTCAGTGCTAGCCAGGTTACCTAGCCAGGTAACGAGACGTTTGCAAGAAAACAACCAAGCTCAGAGAATCCCAAGGACTCCACAGTTCAACCCTGAGCTACATATATTCTCTTCTATTGGTCCTGTTATTGTTTTTTCCTCTTCAGGAGGCCACTGGTTAGGCAGACAGCTAACCTGTTGACTGGTGCCCAAGTAAGTAATGATTTAACAGTTTAGGCCAGCAGGCAGATGGATCAAAAGCTACAGGTCTCTACATGACGCAGTAGAATATGGCAAACTTGCAGGACCCCCTCTCCCTGAGGCTCTCTGCCCATCCTACTAGGTTAGATAGGGTGGGTGCGCCCCAGGTCCCCTCCCTTAAATATTGACATCTGATGGGACCTTGGAGGCGCACCTTCTCGGTGGCTGCCCAGCCCTTTGGAACAGCCTCCCACCTGAGATCAGAGGGATCCCTACTCTTTTAGCCTTTTGGAGGGCTGTGAAGACCTGGCTTTTCCCCCAAACATTGGGTTAGGATGGGGGTTGGATTGTGAGGATGTTTGGTCTGGCACCTGGGGGGAAGGGCACCTTTGTTTTTAACTATGTTTTATGGATTGTTGTGAACCACCTATAGTCATTGTATGAGATTGGCGGCCATATAAGTCCTGTAAATAAATAAATAGCAGAATCCAAGATGTTCTTATAAGCCTAGGAGGTAGCACCAAGGAAGCCTGAGGATTTAAAGACTGCCAGGAGATCTCATTTCATTCCTATACAGTATATTTTATAGGAACTGATTTAACTGGCACATTCTGGACTTCTCTGCGGATCAGAAAGCTGCTGTCCTTTAACAGACACTGCTTCAGGACTGGGGCAATGCAGTTCCTGCACACAGAAATGTGCCTCAGAAGAAGATTAAGAGTACAAATGTGTAGATCAGGAAAAATTGCATCGTTGTGCATTTTCTATTTTGTTTTGGCAGCAAGATGTTGAAACCTGATTGAACTGACTTCAGAATGAGCATGCACAAATCTGGAATGAGCCAAATATTGATTAAACGATACATTCCCCAGTAATCAAGCTAAATATATTAGAAAGGCAAACATACAGACAATTAGAAAATGAAGCAGACATTCTCTTCCCTCTCCCCCAAACTAGGAAGAAGGGGAATGAGCCAAGGAAGAGAGTCCTTGCGGATATTCTTGCTTGCATTCGTATCTACACATACCAACACAGAGGCTGCATTCACACAACATGCTTAACAAAGGCAGATAGAAACATTATGATTGCATCCACAGGACATGCTATTATTCCTGGTTAGTACTGATTTTATTTTTATTTTTTTGGTTAATCTTTCTCTACCAGTTGGTTGGTTGGTGGTTCCCTGTGTAGCACAAACCCAGATAATGGGTTCATTAAATAACCAGGTTATGCATGTTGATTGAACACAGTCTCTCTCTCACACACATACAGACACACACACACACACACGCATGCACAACCCAGAGCTTTCCTAGGCAAAGCATCAAAGCCACATCATTATTTATTCATTTAATAATAGCATTTATATACCTCTGGCCCCACAAGGAGTTCCAGTGATTTACAAAAGGCTGAGACATAAAATCCATAAAATCTTAGCCCTCGGTGATTTAGTCCCACGCACACCCTGAAGGTTATCCGCTGCACTTGCTCTCTCCCCCTCTCCAACCCCCATGGCAGCATGGAACACAGACATCCTGGTCAAATGTCTTCTGACAACTTTAATGCCAGTGAATTGTTGAGGTCCATTGAACTGTTGAGGTCAATGCTACAAAACTGGAGTAATGGCCACCCTGGCCAACTAATCTGGAATCTTGCTCCTATTGTATGAGTTTCTTCTATTGTTCCAACTACAGGAAAGATTATGGAGGCCAAGGGGCATTTGGCAATATTCCAACCAAGCGCCATCATAATAGCCCATGAAAGGGAGCAGCTGACAAATGAAAGGTTTGGGGTTTACGGCATATACGTAGCGGGACACAAAAATGAAGCACAGGAGGATCATTAGTAAGGACAAACATTCCCATGTTCAGCTCAATAGGTCCTCGCTCTTTTTCCCGACCCAACGGAATGTTGGAAAGAAATGATGGTCAGGACTTTTGTTTATCAGCACAATGACTCTCTGAAACCCAGACAGAATGAGACCGTATCGGTATGGCAGGAGAAGGCGGTGAAAGAAAGATTGAGTTCAGAAATGGCCCCAGGGATCACAGAGGGAAAAAATCCGGAAAAAAGATCCTCGCTTGCAATCCTATGGGAGGGGCAGTTGGGCAATGAATCAGAATGTTGCCAACTCTTCCATTCTATGCCCCCTTCCTCCCCCTTCCTAGTCATGGGGCACAGAATTGAGTGATTTTCAGGGGTGGCGAAGAATTCCCAAAGCTATGCTCTGCATGCTTTCCAATTCTCTGTTGAGCTTAATGCATTTCTCTGGCTTTTAAAAATTTGAACAAAAAAGGAGATTATGCTTTAGGCCCTAGCTCCTCTAAAAACCTCATTACAGGTAGTCTCCGACTTACGATCATTTGTTTAACAACTGTTTGAAGTTACGACGGCACTGAAAAAAGTGACTTACAACCAGTCCTTGCGCTTACGACCATCGCAGCATCCTCACAGTCACGTCATCAAAATTCGAGTGCTTGGCAACTGGCATGTATTTATAACTGTTGCCACATCCCAGGGTCATGTGATCACCATTTGTGATCTTTTCAGGGGGCTTCCGACAAGCAAAGTCAATGAGGGAAGCCGGATTCGCATAACAAGTGTGTGATTTGCTTAACAACCATGGCAAAAAAGGTCATAAAATCGGGCATGATTCACTCAATGACTGCATCGCTTAGTGATGGAAGTTCCAATTCCAACTGTGGTCATAAATTGAGGACTACCTGTACATCACTACTATGACCCTTTATTCCTTGGAGGTTAATTTTAATATAAAATGTGTCTTGCTTTGAGTTTGTCTGCCCTGGCTCTTGGTAATTGTTGGGGGTGGGGGGAACATTTGCACATATTTGTGTGTGTGTGGATAGAGATAGAGATAGAGATTTATCCTTCTCACTAAATGCTGTTCCTGGAAAACCACTGTAGGATGAAAGGCCCTAAAGCATTTCCTGGATGGTTGGTCCTATATTACTCCTTCTTCTTCAAGAGGGAGCCCAGGTCCCACCTTTGTGTTCCAAGGGTTGCTGGTAGGAGGAAGACTCTCTTTCAGGCTGTGGAAAAATGACCGTAGCAATTTGAGAAAGAGTTCATCTTGGCACCAACTGCCTTTTTCCTCAGTGTCCCAAGCCTGTGTCAGCTCTGCCTTGACTGAAAGTGAATTGGGAGCCATTATCTGGGGATGTAATGGGGAATGACAGGTAAAGAGGCAGGCCAGGACAGCAGAATGATCGAAGGTGATTAGCCAACAGATATGTTCACCCAGATAAAGCCATTAATCTCCCGATGCACCATACAAATGGCCTCTTAGGAGATCAGTGACACTGGGGTTTTGAGTCTATGCAAAGCAGTGGAACCACATGCTAGAACAACGAAGCGTGATAACCAGGTCATACACAAGCAAAATGAGGGGCAGAACAGCAGAATAAACCTTGGGGAATTACTTCTTCAGATCTGATGACTGCAAGGTCTCTGATGATCCATACCTTGTCTAGCAAAGAAGAGCATCTTAATGCAGAAGCCCAGATTCACACATGTATGAACTCCGGAGCAGGGATATTCACACTATAGCCAGTGAATCCAATGATATAATTGGATTCCCAGAAAACTAAAAAAAAAAAAAAAATCCAAGCAGGGGATGGAAATCCCCAACTCAATTAACAGTATTTTAATTGTTTCTTGCTAGCCAAAAACAGACCAGCAACAGCATCTCTTGGCAAATTCTTGAGAATTACTGGTGGAAAACCAGCCAGCTGATTGGCTGGTTTTTTTGCTGGCAAGCAAGGAACAAGATGGGCTTTCATGGCTTCTGAACATGTGCAATGACATCATTATTGAGCCACCCAGAGTCACCCATTGGGGGAGATGGGTGGCATACAAATTTAATAATAAATAAAATAAATAAAAAGGAAAAATTTGCAAGACCCACCCTGCGTTGGTGTCGCAACACAGGCATGTAAATGACAGGCTAGCACAGTGACATCACGGTGGGGTGGGGCTTGCTATAATTTGTCCTATACCTTTGCTGCGGAAACTCCTATTCTTGAGCAGTTCAACAGTGGAGATTCTATTCCACCCTCAAACCCAGGAAAATTCAAAGGGTATCAGAGTAAAATCAATGTGGAAAGAGTTCCTTATGGCAAGGCATGTAGCCTCACTTTTGTCTGTATCCAAACTCCATAACAGGAGTGGACATCCTGCTGTCTCCCAGATATTTTAGGTGACAATTCCCACAATTGGCTATGCTGAAAATTTTTAATTTCCTACTTCCCCTTCCTGATATCATCTCAAGGCCTTTCTTCAATGTCTCCTGCAGGCAAAGATGGGGGATTGCAAAAGGAAGTCCTTTTTCAAAAGTGGCTTTTTCATGAAGAATGCCTAGCAAGACTCCCAGGGCACTGATTTTAACTTGTGGATACAAGCAAAGATAATTTGTTCCAGCCTTAAGGAATAAGTATAGTAATGATCAGCATTTTGTTTGGTTTTTAACTGTCCAAGGTTATGTGTATATAGTTGTTAGGGTTTCTTCTGCTTTTTGCAATCCTTTGCTTGCTTGTGGACATCCAGGTTGATAGTACCTCACTGAGTCATTGACTGATGCCTTAAACCTGGAATTGAATGGATTTCAGTGTAGATCTTGCTCAGAGAAATTTGATTAGCAGAATAAGAAAAGGAACTGCAATAAACAAATGGATACAGCTGAGCACAGACACCCAAGGGTTAAACAGCTGAGCAAAAAGGACGTGGGGAGGGAAGAAAGATTGTGTGTGGGTTGGGGGGGGGGAGTGCCATGGTAGTTCAATTCCTCCTGAGGATTAATTTGTAATTCAATTGCTAAGTGCAGTCCTGATGCCCAGAAAGTGTAATTTATGGTATGTAAAGCAAACCATTTGGGTGGGGTGGGCTTCTCCCCATTCCTGCCTGTTCTTCCTCCAGCCCCCAGCCCCAAAGCGAAGACTTCTTGCTGCTTTTAAGGTGGAGTAAGAGACAGGAGCCTTTACAAACTGTCCCTTATGAAGGGCCTTTCCACCCCCATTTGGGGTTCTTCCAACCAAAATGAAGAGATCAATCCCCCCCCCCTCACAGTTATAAGGGACAAAATCAGCATAGATCAGTGTCCTTTCCCTTGGACTTCCTAAGGACAAATGTACAGGACTTGACCAAAGCCGTGTTTGAATGAAATTCAAGGTCTGGGGCCAGCTTGGTGATTCAATTTTGCCTCTTCTTAGCAGGATAGCTAAATGTATTCACCAATAGACTTCCTCCTCATCAAAAGCATCGGGCTTGGGGAAAATCAACTGAGTCAACCAAAATAGAAAATCTAAATGAAATCTAAAGGGAAGCCCTGGGCTGGTGGTTTTCTACCCCCGTCCGTAGGTAGCACATTGTCTCTGTTGCAAAACCAACTTTCATTTCAGGTCTTTAACAAAATTGATAAAAAGAGAGGAAAGGGAATATATTTTCTCAGCCCAGATGGCTCCATTGAATCATTTATAACACCCTATCGACATCCTCTATCCTTTTTTGCCAATTCCAGCTGGCAACGTGCCTCACCAGAGGGCTGTCAGCCAAATCAGGATGGAACAGGAGCTTCTCAAACTTCTTCCTTTCCTTTTCCTCCCCTCCAGGGGCTAATATTTGACTTGGGCTAGGCCTGCTCCCTGAGGAAGAGCAGAAACATTTCTTCAGTTGCATGAACTAAAGGACGTCCATTTTGGAGGGTTCTGCTTGCTTCACAGCAGGAAAGATCCAAGAGGGAAGGGAGGTGCCATTCACAGCACCCTCCAACAGCTCTGGAGGAATTGCAAATGGGGAAATTCAGAATGGGTGAGGAAGATTTCCACCTTCGGAAATGGTAGGACTGGCAGGAAACAGATCAGACTGGGGGCCTTTCAGCAGAAGGCTGTGGTGGGAGAGGGCTTGCGAAGACTCTGGTGTCGGTGGTTAGGAGGGAGATGAAAATAATAAAATATGTCTGCTCTGCTGAAAGAAAACATTGCTTTGAGGTTTGGTGATGGGAAGTGATATGTGATATACCATTCTGTGATATATGATAGATAGATAGATAGATAGATAGATAGATAGATAGATAGATAGATAGATAGATAGATAATAGGAGAGAAAGGAGAGAGAGAGAGAGAGAGAGGAGAGAGAGAGAGGAGAGAGATTGGAGAGACAGACAGACAGACAGGTACTGGGGGAAAGTATTCCCATGATCCCTCTTCCCTGAACAAGCCGTCCTCCATCTTGGCCTGTTACTGTTGACTTTTCCTCTGCTTCTTCCCCCAGCAAGAGAGAAGGAAGAGTGTGCAAGGCTTCCTTCTGATGCTTCCTCAACTCACCAGTGCATGTTAACGGTCTGCAATAATGGATAGCAGAGTCCAGCGCGAGTGCAACATCCCCTATTATGTGCATCTTTGGCAACTTTTGAGCCAAGAACTGTTGAGCAAAAATTGGAGAAATTGGCAAAGCAAAGCATGACAGTGTTTGAATCCTATTAGACCAGGAAGAGCAAATCAGCTGAATTTCAAAATCCATTGCTCCCATATTCTTAGGTAGGCAGTGTCCGCAAGGGAAGATCAGACCCTTTCCATTCTGTATGTGATTCTGGGAGATGAACCTAGGACCTGCTACTTGCTGTCCTTGTGTTCTACTCATTGTCTACAGCTCTTTCTTCTTCCTGTGGACCTGTGTGGACAGCCTTTAAAAATATATATCCTATCATAGCTTTTACAATCCATTCAAGCTCCAAAGGGCAGCAAGAAAGTCTCTGGATTACATTATTTTACTAGGGATGGACATGAACGTTGCATGGCATTTCTCATTTTCCGAAGGTCACAGGAATAGCATGTCCATCACCAACTTTGAAAATCAACACAATGGCATCGGTTTGCCCACTGTTGCCTTCATCCATTTGGAATGAAAAGGACAATCATGTCTGGCTTTTCCCTTTCCCTTATGACTCACCAGTCCTGAGGGATGTCCCTTGTGCGTTTGTTAGAATTTCAGTGTTAAAATCCAGGCTGGTGTTAAGCAGATCAGCTCAGTTTTCTGAATATAATGGGGTTCATCCTCATCAGAGAGAGGTACCAGCAATTGCAGGGGAGTTCTTCACTGGAGTGGGGAGGACTTGTGGGGAAACCACAAAATATCCCATGAGGACTGTTACACCCAAGGAACGTTGACTTACTATCCCCGCACAAAGGCTTCCTTGCTAGTAGTTCAATTGCAGAGTTTTTTCTTTCCAAAAAAAAATCTTCCTGGTCCAAAAGTCCAATAAAGCTGTTCTCCATCTCTCATACTGTATGTCATAATCTGATAGGGCTTGGGAAGAGATGGACAATATTTCCTGTTCTTCTCCACTTCCTTCTCCAGCTCTAAGCCCCTGGGTTCCATCAACTACTTAACCAGATCTTTTCTCTCCCTGTTCCCTCATACCTGTGGGTATCCATGGTTGTTGACCCGTGGGACATCAAAATCCTCTATTACAGGATCTGGGAAATTCACCACAGTCAAGGGAACTGCCGGAGCATCCGGTAACCGAGCTTCCATCTGCTTTCTTTAGAAAGAATGAAAAACATGGAGGAATCATTGGTATCTACCGCTTGATACAGTCTGACTGCTGGCAAGAAGATTCTAATTGCAGCATGATCCCAGACATGTAGACATGTTCTCAAAAGTAAGTCCTATACTATTCAACAGGGCTTACTCCCTAGTATGCATGCAGCACAATGTAGGCTGTTCAGAAGTAACTTCCACCAAGTTCACCCAAATTAAAGAAATTACAGACAAGTCCTGCTGTAAGATACACTTAGGGCTGCACACAGTTTTGACCTTTTTGAACCAATCTGTGGGCAGAAAAACTAGAAGGGGATCATTGTATCATATGACTCCAGAAACCAAATGGTTTAGAGTGAATTGCAATAATCCCCATTCACTAGTCATTTAGAGGGCACCTTTCTTAGAAAACTTAAAATTTCCTTTTCTGGGTTTTCAGGAAGTTAGCACACAATCCTAATTACATATGCATACATACACACTCCTTACTCATGATCTATTACTCACGTGTAAGCTCCAATGTTGTTTACTATTCTAGCAACAGCTTTGATATTGCCATCAGGATGTGAAAGAGGCTCATTGATTCCCTTGAGGAAAACCTAACATTGGGACAAAAAAGAGAAAGGTCACCAACAGATTCCTGAAGCACTCTGGAGAGGAATATTCCCTGAAGCCCTTCCCTGTAGAACTGCATCTTGGGAACTTGGTTTCTTAAATACTGGATTCTGATCATCCAAGGAGTCAATCTTGGATCCAAGGAAAAGATATTCATATGCTCTGATGTCTCTATACCTACAAAGATCAGACTCATGCAAGCCATGGTATTATTCCCTGTGACACTTATAGAAGTGAAAGTTGGACTCTGAAGAAGCAGGATAGGAAGAGTGTTGACACTTTTGAATCTTAGTGTTGGAGAAGACTCCTGAGAATATTGTGGACAGCCAAGAAAATGAGCCAATGGATCATCAAACAAATCAACCCAGAGTTCTCACTCAAGGCACAGATGACCAGGATCAGATTAACCTACTTCAGACATATTATGATCTCTGGAGAAGGCTCTGATGCTGGGAAAGGTGGAAGAAAAGAGAAGAGGAGAACAACCAGCAGGAAAGTGGATGGACTCAGTTACAGTGGGGATAGGTGCGCTGTTGGGAGACCTAAAGGATCAGATTGAGGACAGATCATCATGAAGAAAATCTATGTGGTCGCTAGCAGTCAAAAATGACTTGATGGCTGTGCATGTATAGGTTTCCCTGCAAAATATACACACAAATGGATTTTGATAAGTATATTTGAACCCAAGGCTGCACTGGAACACCCAGGAAGGTGTGAAATCTGATCCCAAATTAAATTCCACTGGAGATGCAGAGTGGGCATTTTGGACTGCAGTTTGCAAAGATTGTTTTTTCCCAGTGTCCTTACAGAAAGCCAGGCTGATTAATAACTGAAGCAAATTTGCTTTTATCAATTCATTCCAGAGCCCAGGCTTCTCCACTTGGTGCCCAGCTGTTGAGTTAGAATTCCAGCTCCCAGAATTCACTGCCAGATTGGCCCATGCCACCCGGGAATTGCTCCCCACAATCCATCAGGAGGAGAGGAGGTTGAGAAGGCTGCCCTACAAGGGGAAAGAATTGCATTTATCTGGAACAATGTATTGCTGGCTTGGTGTCATGGGGGTGGGGGTAGGGGAACCACAAGAGTCTTTCAGTGTTACTCTTTCAAACATTTTTAAACATTTTGTTAAAAGATCTGGCTGGATCTAGCATAACAACAGACTGACTGTGGAGGTCAGCTACATCTGCTGCTGGAGAGAATATCTACTGTAGCTTTCATGACTTTTAGGCATGAGGAACTTATTCTGCAGCATTTTTCATCATCTCTCTTTTAAAGATGGCTTGGGCTATCATTGGAATGTCTTCTGAATCTGATTTCCATACATTAAATAATGTATTGATGTACACTTAATTCCTATCCATTATGGATGTTTTAAAAAGTTCTTCTTTATAATGCTTTGAAATTCAGTTTCTTTGGATGACCACCAAGTTCTGGCACTATAAAAAATTGCTTGACAAGCAACTATTTCTTGACCAGTTACAGATGCCCCAGAAGGCACACATTTTGACTCCAAGAGAAGCAATGGTGGAATTTCTCATCTTAAAAAAATCCCATGTCTAGCTACAACTGACTTACTCATGAAGCTCTCTTTGACTCATCTCCCCAGTGAGTCCAATAACCCTCCCTTGACCTGGCCCTCACCTCCAGCCCTGTGTAGGTCACTCCAGCATAGCGTGGGATGAGGCTGCGTTTACGAATGATGGAAGCATATAACTTGGTTCCTGTTGGGTCCTTCTTCCGAGGCTGTTTGAGGAAAAACCAAACCACAGAATGAGAAGAGAACAGAAGGTGGAAACAAGACAATAAACCAAGCCATATGAAGTTAAGATGAAGGTAAACTGGGTTGTTCTTGAGATGGCTCCAAGGAACTGTAATTGGTAGTAAATCAGGAGTTGTTCATTAGAGTTTATGCTACCCTGGAGAATCATCTAGAAAGTTCAATACCATGAACAGCTCTGTCTGGTATAAAAGTAAATACAGGAACACTTGCATTTCCAGAGGAAGCCAGGTAGCATGAAAAGTGGCCTTCAACTATGCTAACATCAAACGTGTGGCTGTTGGGAAGGGCTATGGCCAATAGACTTGACAATACAAAAGGAGGGAGTTTGTGTTATGATGTCACAATGCGCTTTTTGTTGTTTTCTCATCACTGTGGTTGGTACCAGATACCTATACATCCAAAAAACCTTTCATGCTTTATTGATGCTAATCCCTTTTGATCAGTGGATGTCTAGAGAAACTCTCATTCTCTCTCACTGGAGGTTTCTAAGGTAAGGTTGGACAGGTATATTTGGGGAATGATCGAGCTCTGGACTTCTTAGATTAAGCAGAGGATTATGGATTACATAGCCTCTAAACCCCCTCCAGTTCTATAGTTGTATTTCCCATTTTTTTCCTCCCTCTCAAAGTTCTGAACCACTTTATCATCATAACTTTTCAAGAACTGTGTCACAGCACAGAGAAGTGTGAAACTGAATGGAAGGCATTGCCGGTTGTATTGAAATATGCAGATCAATTTGTCTCCTATATAAAAATTCAGAAAAAGTGATTCTTTACATATTTCTACATTGAACTGGATTATCATGGCTTAGAATTTCCAGCAAGGCACTGCAGGACAGAAACCTTTCAATCACCCTGTTTTTAATGATCAATAAAACACCCGCCTTTAAAAGCTTCCATAAATGTTAGAATCACCAGCAATTCAGCCCTATAGAAGTAGTTGGAGGCTAACACTGAGATCAACAGAGCCCCCAAATGGATTCCTGAACCGTCACGAGACAGCTAATCATTATCATGTCATCAATACAAGCACTTTCCTTTAAAAAAATCAGTCTCTCTGCAAATGAAGGGGACAGAGTAAAGCGTAAAGGTCGGATTTTTTAAAATGTCAGAAAGAAGAAGTCGCTAGTTACATTCTGCACAGCACAATGCCGTCAAGAAACAGAATTTTTTGCCTTTAAGGCATTTTAGTTTTTCAGGATGAATGGAAACCTGTAGATCGTTTTTCCTATACAATCAAAGGGTTGGGACAAGAGTTTTCTCTGTTGGTTGTATCGTTGCAATGTGGAACAAAAGCTTTCTCCAGCATTCAGCCAAATTTGGGGAAATTACTCATGAGGCACTCCTGAAGACCAAATCAGTCCTCATTGGGATATTCTATGGGGTCCCCACCACCACCTCCTTTAGATTTTCCCCTTTTTCTTTTCTTTTTTTACTTCTTCAGTCCTGAAACACGCTAAATTGTTCACCTCATTTCTCATTCACCACTTGAGTTTGCTGTTGTAGAAACAGTGAGCAGTATTTGAAGATAGGAAAACAGAGTATGTATTTTACATAAATGGAGTTTAGATAGAACCATAGAACGATAAAACAATGGAACAATAGAGTGCTAGATAGAACTGTAGAACAATACAGATAGAATAATAGAATGATAAAACAATACTGTACATACAATGGCAGATAGATGATGATAGATGGATGATAGATGATGGATGGATGGATGGATGGATGGATGGATGGATGGATGGATGGAGAGAGTGAGAGAGAGAGAGATCTGAGTCTTTATTATTCCTTTCCTATCATTCGTGTTTTCCCACTGCTATTTTAGCCTTCTTCCAGTTTGGGCCTTTCATTCACTCTCTTTCCACACACACCCCACCAGCAGCACCCTCCCCCCTTCTCTTTCACTGCTCATGCAGAAAAGCAAATATGTCAGGTTGCTTCTTTAGCTACCTTTGAATGTCAAATTGTTCCTTTCCATGCTTTTGATGCTCCACAAAGGTTAGAAACAAAGGCCAGGCAGGACTTTGTCTCTACCGTTTGCTTGGCTGAGCAACAAAAGCTTCTTAAAGTAAGCAAAGCATGTGACATCTGTAACAAAAATCCTTTAACAAGAGTCGCTTTGCATGAGAGGGGCGGCTGTATGCATGTGACATATAAATAAATAAATAAATATTGGGCAAAGGGTGGGAAGGGTAAGGGAAAAGCAGAGCTCTTAAACAGATTGATTTTCAGAACCTTGACCAGCTGTAAGATGGATGGATTCAGCTGCAATGGTGATGAGTGCACCATTGGGAAGACCTGAAAGACCAAGTCAGGAATAGATCATCATGGAGGAAATCTATCAGTGTGGTCACTAGGAGTTGGAAATGACTCGATGGCACATAATCAATTGATTGCTCAATCAATCAATCAATCAATCAATCAATCAATGTATATTTTGGAGGGGGGAATCTGTTTAGACAGCAAACACATTTTTTCAGCTTCTTCAGATCATTTTTCAGTTCATTCAAAATATGGTAAAACAGACCAATTACATTTGGAGCCCTTTGCTGAACAAAGGTGTAGGCTTCACCCCCAAATCCTACTTTAATGGCAGCAGAATGGGTTGATCAAAGAAGAGACCTTCCAAATAGGATAAGATTTTATTTGGATATGAATAGTTGCAAGCAATAATGGCGAGACGGGGGAAAAATTATTCCCTTCTTTTAAAAAAACCCCAGGAACATGGAATTATTGATGATTCCTTCAGCATGTTTCTTTGACTTTGAGGTTTTCAGAATCTGAAATGCGGTTCTGAAAATCTGAAATCCTTTCCTATCATGGATTATTTCTGTTTTGCAAAGGTTTTCCTATCCTGACTTCTGCCAAGTTTGAGGAAAAGGTTCTTGTGTTCTTCATAAGTCTAAACAAGACAGCAAATAAGGCTACGGAACGTCTCCTATCTCAGGAGACGTTCCGTAGCCTTGTGTAAATGCAAACATACAATCCAAGTGGGAACCTGTTCCCCAAAGTCTTTGCAGATGCCAAGCTAGCTCAGCAAGAAAAAGCTAAATGAGAGTGCTTCTGCCCTAACATTTGAGCCCTTCTACTTGTATAGGAATTTTTGGGCAACACAATTATTTATTCACTACAAAGCTTTCCTACCATCCAGGGATGGGGGGAGAGGGCGTGCTTCCAGATGGCTAATGTTCATGGTGAAAGCAAACAAAACAGCTTGCAATCTAAACACCAAAGAGAAGCCATTACAAGAACAAAATAGCAGATGCAGACCAGATGTTTAGATGGCTGCGAGAGAAAATCTCAGTAAATGAGAACTTGGATGATTTTAACCTGTCATTGAAAAGCAGGAAAAACAGTGCAGAGCACTACATTCTACCAAACCTAGGTGCCATCACCGAAAATGTCTTGTTCTCAAATGCTCTTTGCAGGGAATATGAGGTCTAGGGGAAGAGAAATCTTCTCAATTCCCAAACTTAAGAGTCGTTTCATCCAGCTTTTGCATCTGTTCACAATTTTTTTAAAAAATCCATATGAGGTTCCGAATACATTTTCCATACATATTTCCCCATCCGAGACATCTCCTTTGTTACGATGCATTTTTTGTGCACCAATTTCATGCAGACTTTCCCCCAACAGATCCTCTTAGGGCGCATATGCATCGTTCAGAGAATTCCATTGAAACCATCGGTAGAAGCGTGAATTATGGAGGAGAGCTGGCTTTTAGTTCATAGATTGGATCAGTAAGTGTGAATGCAGTTAAGTCAGCATTAAGAGATGAAATTAGCCGATTTCAAAGGGAGGCATTCTTAGCGATGGGTTACCAGTGTTAAATGCATTTAGTGCATTTAAACAATGTATGAAAGATCTAGAAGCCCAACAGGGCCAGTTTGCTTTACTCAACAATGTTTTTCTGAACAGTCAACCCCCCTTTTTCAAACCAGCAAGTCAGTAACCCTCTATAACAATGTTTCTCAACCTTGGCAACTTGAAGATGTGTGGACTTCAGCTCCCAGAATTCCCCAGCC